ACTTTTTGTACTAAAAAACACTGAACTCTGTATTAATTGTATTGAAATATTTTCTAATCATTTGAGAGGAAGTTTTTGATGTATTTATTGAAACTAAAAAATCAATTTAATCGATATTATTAAAAAACAATTATTATATAATTATAAAATGTTATATAACTTTAATTCAAATGTTAGATCAATAGTACATATATTTGTTTTCTAAAGAAATGTTTTGGCGACAAAAGGAAACAAATTGTTTTAATTAAAATTAACTAAATAACGCATACATTATAATAGTTATGTTAACCCATTAGGAGTGAAGTTCACAATCAGTTATAATATATCAGTGCATAAAACACACATTTAAAGCATTAAACTATTTATTAAATTACAAACACATAAAACATATCAAAAAGTGATATTTCAAAACAATTTTCACTTAAAAACTTTATAAAAAGTTTTTCAAAAGTTTTGCATATTTTTGAAACAATGAAGTGATTTGTGGCGAAGAGTGAAGAGTGGCTCCACTTATGGCTCAATAAACGAAACATTAATTCATATTTTGTGTTCATTTTCTGTCAATTCATTCATCCATTAGTGAAGACATCTTTACATCGCTTTTGATTTGATCCACTGATCCGTCGATATTATGGCCGATAAGAAAGACACCGACAGTAAGGATAAGAAGGACTCGAAGACCGCGAAGGACTCCAAAGATAGTAAAGTGGATAAAAATGACACGAAATTGGATTTGGGTTTACTTGAAGAGGACGACGAGTTTGAAGAGTTCCCCGCAGAAGGTTGACACACATCACACCCATTATACCACTCATTGTCTCTTTTGCTAACCATTTGATTGTCTTATAGTATGGAAAGAGAAGGACGAAACAGAGGAAGAGGTGAACCTCTGGGAAGACAATTGGGACGACGACAACATCGAGGAAGACTTCAGCAAACAATTGAAGTAATGATTGTCTCTTTGCTCTTATGTTTCGTTGTTTTTAATCTTATTTTTGGATTTAATTTAATCTTTAGATCCGAATTAGAGAAGAAGTCTTTTGCATAACGTGTCAAACAATGGCTTCAATTGTTTTTTGTGTTTGTTTTTTACCCTAATTTATAACAAATTTGTCTCAAATCTAAGCGAAACCAATGCTTTATTTTGGCTTTAAATGCCTTTTATATAAATAAATCTAAAATTATTTGTTTATAACTTGAGATCAATTACTAAAAGCGTTAAATTATCAGTTATTTATGGATTTCTTTATTAAACAGTAGTTATTGCCGATTGTGTGCTGTTATT